CTCATGAATTCCACGACTCGTGTGTTTCAATTTAGACGCGTAAGAGATCAAAGCGACGTCGCGTAGGATACAGACTGCGCTCGAGATTCGAAGATCTTTCAAAGAAAATATTGAAGAATCAAAATTGACAATCAAAATGGAAAACAATTTGTCGAAGTACGAAGAAGGTTGCATAAAGAGGAAAGGATCAGAGAAATAAACGATGGAAATTATTGAATGATATCAAAAGTGCTTTTCGGAGAACAATTATCCATGATTATTGGACTCTCGAGTGCATAGTTCCGCGAGGAAAGCGCGGTTTGTGTCGATCCAAGGAGAATTTTTCGACTTTGGAGAAGAGATCGACGCATCCTCGCTCGCGCTTCGCTGCGTTCTGGCTACTATTTATGTGAAGGATATACATATATTATACAGTGTACACAGTAACCGTGGCTGAAGCTCCAAATCAAAATGCACAGATTTAGATACGAGCATCGATCATCGGGACGTTTAACCATACTCCCGATAGGATTGTTCGTCGAATAATTTTGTTCGTATTTTTAAGCGACGTTGTAAAGCGAAAGCGTTAATCAAAGGTCGACATTGACGTGGACAGATGGGAAGCACGTGATTTTTTCATTCGTTGATTGATAATGGAAAATTTGTAACACCAATACCGTGTGAATGGGAATCGAACGATTTTTAATAGGATGAAAATATAAAAAATATTCGTAACAATCATCGATAGTTTTCGCTTTGCAAAACTTTATTAAGCTGTTCGTGCTTAATGGAACGGAAAATTAAAGTAAAAAACCATCACGTTAATCGAATAATAGGACTGGACATTCTTTAGGATAATTGTTGTATTTATTTATCGCATATTTCTTGTCGGTGCTCTTTGTGTGTGTACATAGCAAACACGTTTATCGATGTTATTCGTTTGCATTCGCAAGTGCACACGGAAAAGTCTGCAGAGGTCGATCAGTGTTTCACTTTGATCTTTCTACCGAATGGCAGATGTATAAATCGCGGCTCTATTCCGATACGACCAGCCCTAGTTTCCTAAATTAAAAGTTCACCACTCTTCTCGAAATTGCAACAGATAATCTTCGAATTATATGTACAAATAATCCTGGACGTGAATTTTCATTACGCGTAGAAAGTTTCAAATAATTACGAAAGTGCAAAATATTTTACAATTATAATTGAGTTCAAATGAAACAAGTTTGTATGAAACAAGAAACACTGACATTCGTGCGAAAGATTAGAGTCGAAGCTTATTGGTCCCCTGCGATTCGATGGAAATAAAGGATAAGAAAGAAAAAATCAAAAGCAGAGAGTGCGAGAGTGAGAGAATGAGAGCCAGCTAAACGTCTGACATATCAAAAGACAGGATTCTTCTTGACGAGAAACCACACAGCAATACCTTTCCGCTCAATATGGATAATAAAGGAGGAGAAACATAACGATGTTTTGAGAATGTTTTAATGTTAAAGAATTCGACACCATTTACAGAGACGGTAGACGAATGTATGTAGATATTTCGGCGAAATTTTAACGATTTTTTCGTCACGTACAATAGCGTGTAAAATTATTTGTAGGCACAAAAATCAGTCTCAAAAGACCTGCTTCGTACAATAAGCGAATTGCCCAACTTCGTATCGCGTGCCGATTCTAAAGTTTCTAAATGTCACATCGTTCAAATTACGTCATTCGATTGGACGCGGTGTCTTCGTGCAAATCATGGAAAGCGGTTTGCCAGAGATTTTTCTAAGCATTGAACGATAGAATTGAACAGAGAGTGAAATTGCTAAAGTAATCAGCTGATAAAACACATTGAATCGTGAGTAGTTATCAATGTTATTATTGCTTGACGATTTTCGTGATTGTGACTCCTTTACAAAAGTGAAAATAACGTAAGAGAAATGAAACGTCGCCCTATCGTCCTTTTATACCATATAGGAGCAGGTGTACGCGAAAGAAATATTTCGAAAACGCGCCAGCTGAAAGATCGAGTCGAAGCGGCCGTGGTTGAAACTTCGATTACAGAATGAAATAGAAATCGGCAGAGGAAGCGAAAATTTACCTAAGTATCGATACACGAATATGTTAGATATATATAGACGAGTAAATGTTTATATGCCTCGTTAACGAAAACATCAAAGACAATTTGAGAGGAGAGAAAGAGCAAAGCGCCCGGTGTTCGGAGCACGAGAGGCAGAGGTTCGTTTGTAAAGGTTAAAAAGACATTGGATAGACATTGCGAGATATTAAATACGAGAGAGGAATGGAGTAACGAAAAATTCCATCTGCTCCGCGCCTGACAAAACGGTATGTCGAAAAAAAAAAAACAGTTCGTAAAAGAGCGAGGATACGTACAACAGTACAAGATAGACAAAATAAAAAGTGAAATGTTTGTAAGATATCGGCTAAGCCCTGAGGAGTTTCACTTTAAAATAGTAGTACGATGAGGACAATGTAAATGTATGAAAGATCTATTAATTACCTGATCCTAGCCCTTTCCTAATCCTTTCAAAGATACTTCCTTCCCCTCCTCCTTTCGCAGAATCCTTCCTCGGCATCCTTTTCCTCTCTCTCTACGACGAGTGTAAAAAAAATATCATGTAAAATTAACACACCGATTAATATAAATATAAATATAAATATTATAAATAAATGAATAAATATAAATATATATATAAATAAATAAATATATATAAATATATGTATGTATACATGTGTGTATGCGTGTATCTATATATGTATACATATCTACACGTATGTATACACATATATATACATTCTAACAAATGATTGATTGTGAGTCATTTAAATAATTGTTATATGTATTTTCTATATATTATGACAACTAATACAATGATATATATTGAGATGACATTACGGTACTATTAACTAAGTGTAGTTAAACAAAAATTAGGCGGGCGGATGTTCGCGTTACAAGAAAGAGATAGGAAAAGGTTGGATTACTCTAGTCCAATATTTCTATAAATCTCGCTAAATGAAAACAAAAGAAACAAACAAACAAAAAAAAAAAACAGAAAAAATGGCGGAGAAGGCGGGCCAGCGTACTCGCGACGCGAAATATTTAAAAAACAGACAAAAACTAGAAAAAAAAAGAAAACGATAGGAACGAGACACTCGAAGCGATTTCCTTCTATCACGGTTGCTGAAAGAAGTGTATCTTTTCATCTGGAGAATCACTAGATACGAATGAGAAATAAGCGAGAGGAAACGCGATAATAAGAAAACGATACGTCGTGGTGCCGTTTCGAGTGTGTTCGTTACGTATTGCAAAAAAAAAAGATGAAAAAGAAAAAAAAATAACACTGAGTGAAGAAATCAATGTGGAATTTGCAACAAAAAAAAATGTATTTTCTCACTCCCACTGCGAGGTGTATGTTCATCGCTACATCTTATTTGGAACGAAAACCTAAATATTATATTATTATATAAAATTACTATATAATTGTAACGAAAATTGTTTTTCAAACGATGTGGTATTTTTATTGTAGATATTATTATATAACAAATAAAATCATGATTCATTGTATTCGTTGAGTTTTCACTTCTATAAACATCGAAGAATATTTTAAATAATTTAATTTATAAAACGTTTTAAGTGTCGTTTTATTTTAAACCCTTTTTATAATTACGTGATTGTTGAATTTTTTTCTATTTTATTTACATCTCCTTCTATAATTTCAAACTTACGTTCGTATCAGACAAGTAAATCAAGTAACATTTTATACATACATAATATATCCTATAAGAATGCATTTCATGATATTTTAGTTATTACAATGGACGCAACGATAATTTACCATAAACGACAATATAAATAGATGTTAATACTAACACGAAGGTAACAGATCATTTACAATTTTCAAAACAATATACTAGAATCAATAGAAACATTTCGAACGTTATACCTAGATATTCGATCAACAGATCACATTTTGTGGATAATCACAATAATTAGTATAGATGTTAAATACCAAGTCATCTTCACAATAGAAAGCCGTTGGAACTGCTTTCGAATCTGTACAATAATAAACTTTCTTGCAATTGAATGGATCTCTGAAATATCCTTTTTTCACGCAAATTGGAATCAGTGGAGGGACTGGTTCGGTTGGGAAAGAATTAATTGCAGGATCTTTAGGTGATTGTTGTCTGCTGTAGTTTAATACGTCCTTCATATCATAAACGCCTATATATTTTCCATTTAACTTAAACGCGAACGATAATGTGAAGACTGCGATGATTAGTATCAACGTCCTCAAGAAATACATCTAAAAACAAAAATAAGTATGCATGTAGTAAATTCATAACTTTGTAGATATAATAAAACAGGTGCACCTCGTCGATTTCTATGACCTTGAAGTATGCTGTTAAGGTCGTCACTCGGCCTTAGTTTCCTAAATATTCACAAAAAGCTTCAACAGAATTTAGATTATACTCTATTCTGGAGCAAGTGGCCGCATTGTTATAGTGGCCAACGTAAACTTAACTCATTGATGCAAGAGATAACTATTTTTAATATTGCATTAATGAAAAAGAGAAATTAATGCGTTATGACTTAAGCTAAATTAGTATCCGACCAGGCGGTCGGCGATGCCAGCGTGAAATAATTTTCAATGAATCTATTAATATCTGGTCTATTAATATATAGCTGCACTCTATTTTGACCTTCGTTCGATCAAAGTAATGTATACAAAATATATACATGCCCCTCTTGTACAATGTAGTTGGTGATAAGCTCGTATGCTCTTAGTCTCTGAATCATGTACAAAAGTATTTACGGTAATGTATATTAATAATAATAAATGGTATTTTATCTCAAAATCGAATGAAATAATAATTAAATCTTGCGTTACCGACCTTCTCGAAGCGGCCAAATGTTGATCTAGCCCAACCTATTATAACTCAAGGATTTATTTTTTTTTTCATTTATATTAGAGATAATTAGCATCGATGAGTTAAGTTTGGGTTGGTCCGTATAAAAATCGGGCCACCCACTTCAGAATAAAAAATGTAATCTAAATTCTGTTGAAATTCTTTGTGAATATTTTGGAAACTAAGTCCGTGCGGCGGTAGCATGTATAGGGAAAAGTTATTAAGAATTATGATCTTGACGACATACTTCAAGGTCAATAAAATCGATGAGATGCACCTGATTCCGAAAAATTATTAGGAAAACACATACATTTTATTGTGCTGAAACACACACTGAAACGTTCTGTGATGTTACATAAAGAAAGATTATATTCAAAACACTATTCATAGAAGATTTATTAAAAGAAATTATTAATTAATTGCAAACAGCTAAATATCTATATATAAAAAATTAAAGGAATAAACAAAATATTACGATAATATATATAAGGCACTTAGAATCAATAGAATGTTATGGACTATTTCTTGTCGAGATGGGTTGTCGAGTACGAGACGATCGTAAGGATAAACTTAATATACGTATAATATTTAAAACTATTTTATTTGTATTTACAATAAATGGATTTTTAGAATATTTCGTTTTATGTTTCACCTTTTTTTTGTCAAAATATTGTTGATGTCGAAAGGATAAATGTGCAATAAAGTTGTTTTCTTCATATTTGATAATTCATAAACTGAAAAACAGAATTCATTGAAAATTTGCGTATATAATATCTAATATACGTCAAGCAATAAATATAACTTAATTTTCACAGATACATTATATTTTCTAACGCTCATAACTTTTAAATGCGATTTACTAGATATCAAACAAATGTCACTTACGTTCTTTTGATTCTGGGTGCATCATATTATATTAACGATTTACATAAAACGGAGAAAAAACAAACAATCTAAGTTTACGTACAAAATTATGAATAAAAAAATATAAAAATCAAATTTATTTATCTTCAACATAAATTTTGAAATTTTTTACTTTTATTATCAAATGTAACAGTAAATAGAACGAAAATACTAACTTTAAAAAAAAATCGCAATAGTTGAAAAATTTTAACGATGTTCCAAATTACTTTTGTATACACTTAGGTCGATTAAAGTTCTCGTACGATACTATCAAGCACGTTCTGCTAACTGCCGTTGACAGCGCTGGTACCACATTTATACATACATATGTACATATGTGCGACTTCTATATAGTTGAAGTATATAATTATACAGATTTCCATTTATCTTGTTCATAGTACATAAAACTAATGTAAATATGTAAAATGTAGCAATACTCGCAAATTTTGGAGTCATTAAATACTTTTCATGGAGAATTGTTTTAAATCTTACTCTGAAATTGATATAATAACAGTGTGGTACGCTTAGTATTTGCTATCTCTCATGGACTTTATTGACTTTTTTCAGAATCACGTACCTTGTTTAATGCTTCTAAGACGATAAGAATATAGTTATAAAGTATAATATAAATGTATGATTTGCTCAATATACTTACGATAGTGATGCAAAAATGAGACAAAGCATATCAGGAAATACGTTCTTTTATTAACATTACATATTTTATTATTTTACGTTTTTTTTTTCTTTTTTTAATTAAATATTTAGAAAGCAAACGTCATTTTTTAAAGAAATTCGTATTTATTTCTATCAATCACGTAAATTTGGATACGTCTGGAAATTGTGCGACGTAAGAATACTTCCTTTCTGGCTCGATAGCTTTCGTTTTATTTGTTTTCACGGGTAAAACGTTCATTATATTCGTGGTTAATTCTATAGGCCTTAAAGATCCAAAGAAATCTGTAACTGGTACTTTATCAGGGTCCCTTCTAAATAAATCTTTTCTTACTCCAACTGTTGACAAACAATAATGCTTGGGACAAACTCTGAGCTAGAAAGATAAAGATACGTTAGTTTATTCGTGCAGTAAAAATTGCTTTTTATATAATATATAACTTACAAATTCTCCCAAAGTTTTGGAACTAAAAGGTTCTACTTTTTCCAGAAAATCCAATGCATAATATGTGTATCTATCTATAATGTAAACACCAATGGCAGGATCCAAGTGATGCTGTAAAAAGATGGAAGATATTAATAATATTCAGCTAAAACCATATTAACCCCTTGCCGTATTTTAGCGAGTCAGACTCGCGATGAAGATTTTGGCCCAAACATGAATATCGCGAGTCTGATTCGCGACCAGATACTTGGACCAAACGTTTTAGGCCAAACGTAAACATAACAAACCGAGCTCGCGGACTGTTTTTTTTTGCCCGTTACGATCGTGACTGAATGTTAGTTCCTGTTTACGAGCATCAGTCTGGTCTGTTTCGTCGAACTAAATGGTACAGGAAGGGGTTAATAATTAGAAAATAAGTTCAATTACTCACAGAAAGCGAATCTTCTCCCACTAAACTAGAAGCAACTGCTAGAATGTTTGGAGAATAAAACTTCTCATACATTGAACTTGCTTGGCAAGTATCAACAATGAACAAAATTTCATGGTATCTTCTTTTCTGCCACATTTGCTCCAATGCATCTCCAAGTTCTTTACTAGTAATTTCTTCTGAATCTTGGAATTTCAAGAATCCATTTCCGCCATGACCAGTAAGATAAATCAAAATATTAGAACCTTCGTCTGTTAACAGTTTCTTGGATCTTGGTGTTTCTGGTGCTAACCGCCCAGTTAATAATCTCACAAAATTTTCTACAGTAACTTCATAACCTCTGTAATCTACTTCTACATCGTCTCCATAAACATTAATATGTTGCTTAATGTTATTAAAGACAGTAGCAGGACTAGGATTCCTTGGGTTGCATGCCATGTCGTCTGCTATCATCAAAATAATTTGAGAATCTGGTATGCCCAAGCGTTTAACGCTCCTATAAATAGATAACACGTTTGCCACATGTCGATAATTAAACCAAAATCTTGAAGTATCGACTAATACTGCCCAGTTATTTGAATGTCCCGTCTTAGCGAAGTTGTCCGGTATCTGTAAAGGTTAGGTTTTCGCATTCGACAATGATACTTTAGAAAATATTACAAAATTAGATTGGAATACGAACCTCCCATGCATAAGTTAAATGAAAAATGCAAAAAGTAATCACAAATTTTAAATACATTTTGATAAAATTTCGTATCACATGAATCCGTATAAAATTTATTATTGCTTTTTATATGCAATAACAATGTGCAATAATCAAATTTTTAAACATAAAATAAAACATGTATCATTTTATTTGACCCGTTTCCATTGTCAATGAGTATTTAATTTTTTCATTACAGTAATCTTTACTACTTTACTACTGTTTACAAACTGTATTAATGAACATAACCTTTGAAATGTATATCAAGCAGTTCAAGAAGGTGTAGTATTGTCTACCAGATGTCTACGCAATCGAAGCGGTAGGTGCTGCCTCCGTGTCAAGTGAGCAAAATATAATAGTAACGGTTCTCGAACGTTTGAAAATTTGAAGTGACGATAGAAATTTACTTACGTAAAATACAAACGAGATTCAGTGTAAATTTAATGCCGCGTGAAATTAATTATCGACTTCGAAAAGAAGTAGGCTACTTGCAATATGAAATGGTAAGTTTAAAAGTTATACTCTCCTCAATAAATGAAATCAACAGATACGAACAAATGTTTTAGTATATCAGCGAAAATGGTTATGTTGTACAGAATGGAATGAATTATCCACATAACATAAATTTAATTCTTTTTACTTCAAATAATCGTACATTCATTATCACTTCCTATCTATAATACAAAAATGGATGTTGTATGCATGATGTAATATAATAATAAATTAATTAATTTTTATATATAGCACGTCATATATGTATATATATATATATGCTTAGTAAATATATGGTATAGATAGTAAGATAGTAATAATTTTATAAAATATATCATTTTATAAACTAATCTAAAATATATTATTATTAGATACAACATATAAGATAATATAAAATAAATATTAAGTACATTCTCCTTAGTAGAATGATTGAACTAATGACGAATGGACTTACATTATAATGGTGTGTTTGTCATTTTTTCTGTATATACATAACCTTTAAATCTCGCTTGTTTTAAACTTCGTTCAAAACTGCCTATTAGAATCGAATGTTCAGAAATTTAGAGTCAGTTTCTAAGAATTCAGAATGTTATTTTTTATCGAGAAAAAAAGGTATGATATCATTTTAACACGTCATTAATGGAATTTTCTCGCACACATAATTCTATTATACTTTTGCAATCTTCGACGTAATTTACATTTTTTTCAGTAGTATCGTTGGTCTTTTGGTTTTCATACAGAAATCCGCTGAATAATCAATTATTTTCAATTTCCCGATAGAATTACATACACGAATATATTAACTTCAAAATTCAATTCATATGGAATAGTTATAGTAGAATTTTTCAGGAAATTTCCTATTTTTGTCAAAATTAATATAAATAGAATATCCAATGAATATTAAATATGAAAATTGGAAAAGACTGAACTTTTGAACTTTTAAAATATATCATTTATAAAACTTGTGAAATCGTCTATGTCCAATGATCTCTACGTTTATGAATCAATGTACATATTATGAAACATCTAATGAATGGAAAAGAAAAGAGGAAGAACTAGAGGAAATAGAGAAATAATTACAGGAAAGAATGATTGCCACGTTATAATAATTTATTTAAACATTTATACACCTATGATGTTCGACAGTCTTGAAAGTAGTTGCTAACCGATATACACATATATATATATATATGTATATGTATGTATATACATTCACATACATGCATACACACACATATTTATATACACATATACGCGCGGTACATGTATACATAGATCGTTCTCATAAATACATATAGTATGTATACATTATATAAATTCATTTATTTACTCGTTTCATTTATTTATAAGTTAAAACCACTTCGTTACCGTCTAGATAAAGCATTCTCGAAACTTAAGGAATTAATCAATGATTATTAGGCTATTCTGTTTACGTCTGTAGACTTCACGACTGCAGTTTCGATGTTATATACTCTTTACAGTGATTACTGTCGATTATTTTAGGTACACGGCAGTGCATGGGTTCTATCTTTGAAACATTCTGCATTCCTGACTTCGCGTTCCTCCATTTTTCTACGTCTCGCTGAGCGACAACTTCGTAAGTTTTTAAATTGTTTTTAAATTATTTGGAAGCTAAGATACACTTAATTTAATTTACAGCAGCTTCCTACTTTATCATCTATTGTATTCGTCGGTTTGTCTTGTATTAATTATACAGATTTTATGTAAATCATGCGATATGCTATATATCGTACACGTGTTGTGGAAAATCATATGGACAATTGCAATTCTTGAACTCAAGCTATAATCGCAGAGATATTAGTAGAAATTAAAGTGTATGTTGTGTGCTTTAAAAGTCGTGCTACCGTAATTTTCTTGTCACCTTCCTTTTTCTCTTTTTCAAATATGAATCCAAGCTTCGTATTTTGAGAGAGAAAGATTCAATTATTCTGGTTTTTCACCGTTTTTTTTCCTTGTTTCTCTCAGAGAAAAAGACATTACTTTGTTTTTCTCTCTTATCTAGTGAAGATTAAACTATTGATATATTTTCTGTTTGTATTATATCACAAGTTTAACACTATATGTTTCGACGTAAATGTGGTATGATATTTTTGTGTCAACTGTATTTTGAAGAGTGTGATTTGAACTAATTTTTTCATGAACACATTAAATATATCATATACTTCCTAACTAAACACGACAATAAATAAACATTTACAAAATAACTTTTCTGTTTCTTTTTTATACATATAAGTGAAAATTATATTTAGATAATACTTTATACGTTGTTTGAGCTTTTCTTTAAGATATTGTACCGTGTGTTTCATAAATGAAAAGCAAAAGTAAGTTTCGTTTCTTAAAGGTTCTACTTACTTTCATTGCGCCACTAAAGATACCAATATAAACGTTCATTTGTTATACATAACATAACATAAC